TATTGCATTGGCGATGCCTCGCACGCGCACGGTCGCAGACCACACGTATCCCACTGCCGACAAGTCAGCGTGAGTTCGCCGATGCCAACCCTAGCCCTACCCTACCCGCTTTCGCGATGCCAAAATGCAGCGGTGCAGTCCCATGGCCAGTTGGTCTTGCTGATGGCACGTCGTTGTTCTGGCCAACGCTATCCTACTGGTATAGAGGGATACATGCTGGGAGTATGAGAAAAAATGGGACGGGCGATTATGCATACGCTGTGTGTTTTTATGGAAACGCAGGCGATGTCGAATGCAACACGATCGCGTAAGTATATATTGGTCTCGCTCAAGTGCGCTACACCCCTCCTTATAAATGTGGCATCTCCTTATAAATGTGGCATCAACCTCTACGAGTGACGTGCTCTTGCGGCATTTGGTGTTTCTTGCTCGATGGTCGCCGGCATCGTCGTGCGGGGCACGGAAAAGCCTTCGCAAATATGGATCCGGTGGCGCGGCAGCGCCTGGCGCCACACAAACCCAATGTCGGTGAGCTGCCCGCGCTGCTCGGGCGTCAGCGTCGTCTCATGCAGAGACTCGACAAACTCGCCAAGCTGCATATTCCAGAGCGCGGACGGCCAGCGGTCGTCGTGGATCGGGATACGAAAGTCGCGCGTCAGGTTGCTATGGCCGTACGTGTCGAGGTAGATGCGCAGCGCCAAGAGCTGCATGTCCCAGCTCTGCGACGAGACGTTCCAGACAAAGCCCATGTCATCGAGGACGCGCCGGCGCTCCTCGGGCATGTCCTCGAGCTTCTGGCGCATGTTGTGCACCGCGTGGCCGAGCTTCATCTTCCACACCTCGCGCGGCCACGCCACGTCGTGGTTGGGCACGACAAACCCAAACGGTACGCGCAAGTGGCCGTACAGCGACCGGTACGTGTAGAGCGCTGTGAGCCGCGTCTCCCAACTCAGATCGAGGCAGTCCCAGATGAACCCGAGGCGGTTGAGCTGCGCCTTGCGCTCGGCCGAGATCGAGTCAAAGCCTTGGCGGATGTTGTGCACAGCGTGGCCAAGCGTGAGACCCCACGTCTCGGGCGGCCAGCTCGGGTCGTCGCGGGGCACCTTGAAGGCGTACGTGACAAGGAGGTTGCCGAACTTTTGCTGGTACGCGGCCATCGCCGTGAGCTTGAGCTCCCACGTCATGTCAAACGCGTTCCAGACAAAGCCGAGCTGCGAGAGCTGCGCGTGGCGGTCCGAATTCGGGTGGATGCGCTGGCGGATCGTGCGCACGACAAGACCGAGGCGCATGTCCCAGAGGTCGCGCGGCCAGTCGACGTCGTTGTTGGGCACACGAAAGTCCTGCGGCACGCAGAGGTCGCCGTGGAGCGCCTTGTACGTGCGCAGCGCGAGCACCTTGAGCTCCCACTTGAGTTGACCAAGGTCAAACACAAAGTTGACGGCGCGCAAGGCCGCGAGCGTCTCGGGATGCAGCGTATTGGTCTTGTAATGCGATCGCACTTGGCACGTGTTGAGGCGAAGCCGGCGAAGGTGCGCCGGCCATGGCTCGGCGTCCGGCACCACGTACGTCTTGGGCAGGTTCGTGAAGCTCGACGTCGTCCGGTGCAGCGCATGGTAGATGGTCGCGACCTCGACAAAGGTCGAGAAGCGGCGCAGGCTCGACTCGGCCTTGCGCTTCGTCATCGCTCGCCAAACCCAAGTTCAATGACAATAATGTATTGCCACCTTGGGCCCGAAGCAAGCTCCGTTTTATTTTACTAGTGCAATTGTATCGTGCTGCGTGAGAAATGGCTTTTTAAATTTCCGAGCATCCTGTCCACCTAGATGCGGCATCGCACTTGAACGAGCGCGTCGTTAACGCCAACGACGCAGTCTTCGTGGCAGATGCCGCGACCAAATGCAATACTTGCGGCATGCCCGATTGGAAAGTGGCACGTTTTATGGAAAACGTGGCACACAGTGCCGCATCCGGAAGGCGATGCGCCGATTCAAACAGGTGCGATGGCCAGTTCCACGCCCCATCTGTCGGTGAAGTGATCCGACGGGGATCGCATGCGTTGCAAATTGCACGACGCGGGATGAATTTGGTATATACGCTGCACAGACTATAGTCTATAGAGACACTTGATCGAGGCCGAGGGCGGCGGAGACGACGTGGGCACCCGGTCGTCGTCGTGTTGTCCACGGCCGCCGCTTGAAATAGACCCGAAATCGTACTTTACTGGACACGCACTTGACCACCAGACATCTCGGGTGAAGGGGCGGCGACCACTTGACCCGACGTCCAACGGCTGCCGGTCAGCTGTCCGGTTGCACCTTTCTCCGCTTCGAATCACTGGCCTTTCGGCGGCTGACGTTGCATGCCGGGCCAATCGTTGGCTGCGCGTCGCGTGATAGTTACCAAGTCGAAGAGAGTTGCATGACAAACAAGGTTGCAATATCGCGCGCGAGTCTCGTCGGCACCGGACTCAAGCACCTAGAAGGCTACGCGCTTGTTTATGAAAAAAGCCATCCTTGGAGCAGCGGTAGACGTGCCGCGAAACGCCTTCCAACAGCACCATGGCGGATCACCGAGACAAAAGGTATCTTCGATCTTGCGCTCTAAGAACGGATATTGAGACTCTAAAGCAATGCCTCTCACGGCTGCACCATCACGAAGGCAGTCGACGCAGCTGCAACGATAGGCATCATAGGACCACCAGTGTGTGTCGACTGCCGAGCTCCGACTTGGAACATTGGCCCTCGTTTCTCGCGCTGTTGACGCGAGGCGGTTCACCGATTACGCGACTTTTTCGAAATCTGGACGACCACGGAATAATCTACAACACGCATTGAGCGCGAGCTGGTGCTTGAGAGGCACTGCGCAGGTACACCGCCGTACTGGTACGCCCGAGGCTACACGATCGACTGCGATGTACGTGGATACCGCGGCATGTACATGTATTGAGTCCTACAATGCGTTGGCCTTGTCAAGTGGGCGGTTTTTGGGTGTTGTCAGGCCCATTCGCGCTGCTGCGTGGTGACGCAACGAGCGGCAGATCAGGCGTCGCAGGAGGATTGGGTGATAATGCCGGTACCAAAAGACTCGAGTGCGCAAAGCCGACCACGGTTTAAAGCCAGCATTTGATTATCCTCACGTGAGAGACTTTACGAGGCACGGACGTACTAACGTACGGTTAATACCGCACGACGCCGATGTGCACAGGATTGGCCATGCGGTCGGCAGTCGGTCGTCGTGGGATCGCGTGGCTGGAAAAGCGCAGGAGTCGTCCGAGCGAGATATCTGCGCGTCGGTCGATGTATCCGTCCGACACAAGGGTACATAGCTGCAACATCAGCTCGTCGGTTCGTCGGTAGTGCTGCATGGCGTCCCGCAATAGCTGTAGCCCTCACCACCTCCCCAGATCTGGCCGACTCCTCCACGATACGTCAGCGGCATCCAATTTGGTTGGTCCAAATTCTGTCTGCGAGCCAATCATCAGTGATCATACTGCCATATGTGCCTCTTGGATTGGCTGACATTTGGGTTTCTGAAGTATTGCCACCAATAAGAAAGCCGCAATAAGGCGACGTTTGACCCTGCCGCGGATGACTGACACAAGACAGCATGGCCTTGCTTGGATAACGTTATGACGAGCTCGATTTGAGGCCTACAAAAAGACGAATTTAGCAGGCTCAACGTTATAGCGACGAGTCCACGCCTGGTGCGCTGACGAGCATGAGAGATTCACTGAATCGAGACGCCCGCAGCGTGGAACACCAGTCATATCAGCCCACACCAGACCACAGTTAAAATCTCAGCGCCACTCGCTTCCATACGCGCACTAAATGCTATCGTTCGAGCAATTTCCATCCAATGCGACGCATGCGATGGCGCCGACTTTCTTCGTCCTTAGGGGGGCAAATTTTAAGTTAGAGGGTTCTCCGAAAGGTTGAGCGAGCAATACTCTTAGAGCATCTCCAACGCACCACCGCTATAGCTGTAGCTAACCGCGTTATAACCGACCTTTCTCATAGTTTAGCTGTGTGCTAAACGATGAGCTCCAATGGGAGATGCATCTATAGTTATCGCTATCGCTACGCATTGGCTGACAGCGCGCACCAGGCCGCTTAGAGCGGGAGTGAAAACGCAGCGCACGGAAGAGAACGCTCGGCGCATGAACGAGAGAAGCGGAGGCCGCTCGGAGGAGCGTGGCTGAAAGAGTGCGGGCTGGAAGAGCAGGCAGGAGAAGCGCGGGCGCCGGAAGGGGCAAGGAGTGCTGGCGCTGCCGATGTACGACGACCTCCACCTACACGTATACATGTATGTGCAGCGCTAGGCCTGGCGTGTCGGCAAGCAGCGTCCAATTTACGCACGACCATGGCGGATTGAGGCTTATATGTTGAGTACTAGTATCGACGATCGACGAAGGGCTCACATGGGCCAGCGCCCGTGCGTTGGACAAGGCGTCTGTGTCGGTAGAAGCAGCACTATCACAAGTCCTGCATAGCGGTAACGTTACCATCGAGCGCCTGGCCACCGCGTAAAGGGGGATTCGAGGTAGTATTAGTGAAAGCCTTTCTGCTCGACAACAAGCAAGCCGTGCCTGGAACTGGAACTCCCCACGACGCTGTACGCGCTCTTGTTTGAACCGCTGGTGGCGGCCCAACGCTGTACCGCCGACGCGCAGCCTAACCGAGATACCAACAAATTCGTTTTACTGAAATCGTTTTGCCAGGTTAACAATGCAAAACCAACCCGAGAAATTACACCAGCAAGCTAGCGCAACTCCCGTGTGTACTAGAGTCTTTAGGAGACCTCGGGCTGGATGAATTCATTTGCACTGCTGACCTTGAGAACATATCGTGATGACTGAATCTACATGACCGACAAACCGGATCGACCAGTCAAGTACATCATCTTTCACTATATGAACCACGTTTTACCATAACGGATGGTTTGACCGTGGTCGAACAGCTTATGCGATGGCCCCCATGCCATTCATCGTGCCCACTGCACATTTAGGACGTCGTCGCCGACGACGTCGGTGCACACGAATGCCGACAGTGACGCGCTCCTTCATGTTGGGAATCGTCTGGATGGAGGTGCGGGCCGACCATGAGACTCACTTCCGAGTCGTTCGCGACCGAGAGAACGCGGGACGTGCCAAATACCGCGCGCAAGACGGGCGTGACCGCTGCCGTGTAGAGACTATACTGCACCAGTACGGCCATGGCGTTGGCTAGCGACATCTTTTGCGGCACGGTCTTCATGGCGACCGTCAGGCCAGCAATCAAATCGAACGTGGGGTCGCGCTTTAGAGATAGACAGGACGACGACGTACCACCGTGCGTGCGTACTCGATTTTGTTGGATCAAGTTGGAACAGTTCTTCGAACCCGCGGCAAGCGTACAAAAAAGATGCACAACATGTAGCATCAGCAGCATCTTGTTGCGTGATCGGCACATCCTGGTGTGCAGCGATATGCATGACAAGGCCAGCGACAAGTGTCCACGTTGGTTCGCTCGGACCACCGATTGGCACCGCGTCGCGTGATTCCCGTGGCCGGTTGTTTCTCGGAACGATCCTCTCCGGCGCGTGGTGCATGAAATGAGCAAAAATTCAGCCACAGATCCAACATGAACGGATGAAGGCACTTGCAGTCCGACGCTAGTCGCCAAATAGGACGATCGCAATCTTCAATCGCTGCATCAAGTATGTTGCACTGGCGAGCCCTCTCAGCGACTACTATTACATCAAGGGGCGCATCCACAGGTTCCAACAGTACGATTCATTTGAACAAGATATCTTGTAGGTGTAGTAGACGGTCACAGACGTCACAGACACCGTGATGTGTCGTCGGGTGCGACAGCACATTCGCTCCTGATAACCCGCGACGGACCAAGATGCACCGCGAGCAGTGATGACTCCTAGCACTCCGGACGTTCCGTGACATCAAGACTATACCGCAGGTCACTGCGACGTTTCCTTGTCAAGTACAAATTGTAAGTACCACGTGGTACCAATCAGTTGACCGCGATGGTGCAATCACCGCTCCCGACCCGCATCCTCGTTCGGAGCGGCCTATCACCTTGCTTGGCTGCCGGCTCTCGACGTCGGTGATGCCCCAGCTTTCGCCGCGAGGAGCAACGCCGAGGCAAATAAGCGCGGCTTCTCTTGCGACACCGAGGCTTCTCCTCCTTCTTTGCCTTCCAGCACAATTGACGTCTTGGGCGGCATTAGGTGCGCACGGGTGGGTACACCCCATACCCTACGCAGCACCGCGCCGATTGGTGCTGGGCGCGCGGCCTCGACGCCGCAGCCAAGAGCACCCAATTCCCGCTCGCTCACACAAAAAGGCCAAGCTACTCGTCCAGTGTACAGTTTCGTTTGGCCATCACGTGCCCATCGTCGCGTGAAGAAGCGCGAGATGCAGAGCGAGAAGAGCGTTCCAAGTCTCGCTAGCGTGCGTGAATTCGCCGCCCGAATCATGCGCCGTGCCTTCACTGCAAGTGATCACCGCCCTATGTTGCCCAAGGATTCGGAGCGTATCATTGTGCTATGGTCGCGCCTCACCTTGAATGCAAGTCAAATGGGTGGGATTGCAGATGGTGCCGCGCCTTGCCTTTCGCATACAAACACGATGACACTTCAACACAGCTGGTTCGTATGCTCTTGCACAAAGGCAAAACGAAACCGAGACCCGATGGGAATCTCCTATCGGCGGCATCCAGACTGCGACACGAACGCGTGTTTTGACCCTAACGCGCGTGTCGCGGGATACCCAGATCATTGACGGAGTAGTATTTGTGCCAAAGCGTTGCATCGATCGCTCATTCTTTCTTTCACCGCGCCATGGACATTGCCCGCCTTCTCTCGCCCGTCCTCGACGACGACAACGGTATTGAGCCGGACCGCACACCGTCGACGCCGTCGAGCGTCTCGTCCGTCGACGACGACCACACCCCGTCGTCGCGCACTGGTCGCTGGATGTACGAAGAGGAGCAATTTGCACTTGCGCTCATCGAATGCTTCCTCCTCGGATGCGTCCCGGACCTCGTGCGCGGCACATCGCTCCGCTGCTTCCTCGCGTTCAAGCTCCAGTGCTCGCCGATGCGCGTCTCCAAGAAGCTCGCGCGCTCCACCAAGCAGCTCAAGGTCGCTTCGGTGCCGATCCCAAAGAAGCTCGGCCACCAGCGCTACGCACCCAGCGTCACCGACACGCGTCAAACGCTTGCCAAAACGCAAAACATGCAGCGCCTTGAGTTTGAGTTTTTGAACCAGCTCCGCGCTGCGAACGGCGGCCACCTCAGCGCGCCGCCGTCGCCGTCCTCCGACTGGTCATACGACGAAGAGGTGTTTGCTTGGAAGCTCATCGACAGCTTTCAGCGCGGCCACTTGTATCTCCCACACGACATGACCCTCGGGACCTACTTGGTCGAGCAGCTCCGATGCAACCCGATGCGGATCGCACAGAAACTCGAGTCGGGCGTTCTCGCGGGGCAAGCCGTGCACCCGTCCATCTTGAGCAGCCTCGGCTACTGCCGACGAGATGTTGTCGACCGCTCCGCGCCGTTCTTGGTGTAAAGGCGATGTATTTTGCGTGTTTAACCTTATTTTAACCTAATTAACCGAGACATCTTCGCGACATGAGACGACGTCTGCAACGTGTTGGAAGGGCAATTTGCAGCCTGCATGGGACATGCCTCTGATTGCACAAGCACCTCGAGATGCGCGTGAAAGGAAGGCGTCGCGGATGTCGGATTTTACTTTGTTTTTCTATGCGAACCCACAATTCACACCACCCGCGATACTCATCTCAAGAGACCAGGCATGCTGCGATGGGTGCGACGAACTGAGATTCAAGTTGCGCGTTTGCGTTCGTTTGTTCGTGGCAGCTCGTCCGACGACGGGGCTCTGAAACAAGGCGTGCACTGCAAGCGGCCACTCGCTATGTAATGTACGTCAATAATGCGATCCCAAGGCCCCAGACCCAGCGCGTTCTTTCCATCCCCACCGAGATCGGTGCTGCGAGCAATACACGCTGGGTGATGATGCCCAGGATGCAACTATTCTTGACCTTGCAAGTGCTCCTTCGACGTGTCTATACTTGTGCTGTGTTTTGAACTTGAGCACCTGCACCACGTTACCATTCGTCCATGCGTCGCGTTGTTCGTACAAACCCTGTTGGTGCCGGCGGCGGCTATGGTCTGCGAAGTGACGCAGCGCGAGCAGTGCCCCATCGCGAAGCACTCAGCGGCACGGCAGCACCCTCGAATCGCATTTGGAACACTGAAAAGACAAACCAACCGCGTCGTAATTCGCGATGTTTACAGTATGAATCAGCGCCCAGCGAAAACACCTACATTCACATTGATCGGCAGAGTCCGCGCCTCCTCCTCAAATACCACTTGCAATATATACTTGGGAGCTTTCCTCAGTCCGCAGGAGGCAGTGGCAAAGCGACTACGCCAGTCGTTTGCAGTACTGTAGCCATGGCACCTTTTGCAGCTCCATCAAACTTCCAGTGCGTCTCAGGGTCCGTCTGGCGTCTTTGCCATGTACGGCGTCGACATCCCAAGGACACCAAGGGATGCGAATACCCCGCGTCTACATGGCATGATTCGCATTGTTTGCTTAATAGTTACAGCGCGAGATAATACCAGTTCCGTCGACGTTTGACGACGCTGAACAGAGGATCAGAGCGTACTACGACATGCGATTAGTCGGACATTGGGCAACGCAAGTGCCATCTTTGGACTATTGTATGTGCCACCACGTCGGTAGCCCACACGACTGTCCGCGGTGCTGGTTCTGAGCGCAAAACCTTATCGATACGAGCTCGACAAGGTTTAGCACGCACTTGAGAATATTATTTCTGAAGTGCCACACCTTTTGATCCCAAGTTGCAGTTTCGTCGCTGAACGGCAAACATCTTGCGATGTGTGTCCCACTCTTCATCAGAAAGCAAAAAGCTTGAAGCTGCGCCGCAGCTGCTCCGATGGAGACCACAAATTGACGCTCCGAGCTCGGACCTACAACTCTAGTTGCTAAGCTAAGTGATACTAGATCAGAACTATAGTTGGTGCATCGTTCAACAACAACATGGTGGCCCAACGCAAGCACTGCAAGACACGAAACGCGACCGTGACAGTTGCAGAAGTATGTTCTGTCAGAACGGTAAGAAGGAACGAGTCGCTGCAATTTTCTGATCGT